ACTAAATCTTTCTTCCTGTACTATGTCCTTATATGCAATCTTTCTTTTATATATTACCATCATTGACTTAACCACTCCTATGAATCCGGTGTTGATCTTGTTGTGTTAATGAGGTATGGCAACTAGGACCGATGCATATATGTGCCTGGTCCTACGTTGTAGCTGACTGACAAGGAGGCATCAAATAGATATGCGCCACATAGATCGTTCGATTTGTGCGAGGGTACTGCTCGGTTGCCCAAACCAAAGCAGGTGGTTTTCTTAGAGGGCCACCTTCCACCGAGTCTTTAATCTGAAGTTCTAATCCATAAGGCAGTGGAGAAACATATGGAGATGCAGTTTCATGTTAGCCGGTGATCAATAATAGGTTCATGCGCAATTTGTTCCTTCAAGATGCTGGAACTGATATACACCATTGGTTTGGAATCAGGGTTTTTCAACTCCCCTAGGTTGACTCTCCTTGTGCATTAACCCGGTTAAAGTGCCGGACATTCGATTTTCGTCTTCACAACTTCGTAAACAACACCCCATCGAAAAGAGTTTATAGTTGTTTGTTAAACATTTAAGAGTAATTAATAAAGAACATATCATGAATTAGGGTGTTAGTAATTTTTGTTTGTATACTTAACTTATTTCTTATAGGTGATCAGTCACGGTTCAGTAAACAAAGTGATATCTTAAGACACTGCATTGTTCGTTTTTTTATGTAGTTATGTATGCCTCACAATTTATGTGTTACAGTTAGAGATACTAGTTAACTACTTAAACGGAAATAAGTGGTACAATGTTAAAGCCATACTATCGGGTTCTGTTAGAAGTGTATGAACAGTTCCTCACAATATGGAAGAATACTTTTGGATGGACCTGACAAAGGTGGATCACTAGTTAAGTTAGTGACAGCATAATCGTGGGGATAATTGCTTGAGATTGGTTACCTACGGACATTTTGTGAGTTCTTTAAGGGCTGACTCCGTATTTTGTAGACCTTGTCGCCGGCGATGAAGATGTGTGCGGCGAACTAAGGTATGCTATTTTTGGGACCGGTCTTCCCTGACCTCCCATTTTCAGGAACAAAAAATTGCTGCAAATCCTGGTTGTCTGAAGGGAACATCCTACTTTTTTCACATTCCACTATAGTTTGCACTGGAACTTCATCATAGAATCCTAAACTTCTGCTTTCAGTTCTAATGTTCTCCAATCAAGCTTTGTAGTATTATAGGACTTAAAAAGCAAGTGTCCGATAAGGAATTCGAACTACTACTTTAGTTTAGCAGCTACACTGTTGAAAAATCAAGATGGTTGACTAGGGACATTCAGTTAATTAGGTTCGTTAAGTGTAACAAACTTAGCATAAATGTTAACTGTACTGAGTTATTCCTTTCGAAGAGTTATTTACCGGTAGAGATGTATTTGAAATCATTTGGAACATTGAAATAGTTGACTGTCGAAATGAGAGATGAGTTTAGTAACGTAAAAGGTTTGCGCAGAATTGATCATAGTTAAACAATCTTGGTTAATTAGGAATCATTGAATATCTGCCTTGTCTTAGTACATAACTCATCAACAATGTGTATTCACACTAGGAAGATGATCAAAATCTATACAAGTATCTATCTCAGAAAGGGGAACAACCATGTGGTAATTTAATTTTGTTATTTATATATCTGTGTAATATTCGTATAGACAATAATAATCACTTCCCTAATAAACCAATCATCCATCATAGTCATTTTATTTTCGAAAATCAGGAAGTATTTTTCATGAGTTATATGAAGTACCTCCCATATAATTTAGGAATTGATAATAACTAGGTACATCCGGCCGGCGAGTCCCAAATAGGACGAAACACGCATCCTAAATATCAATGGGAAGATTCTGGTAAACAATGTTAAGTGAATTTAAACTCCACTCCATTGCACAAGCAAGCAGCAATCAGTAGCTAAGTTGATAACGCGATGGTGTTTGAAGTTAACGGTACTAAGTTCAAGTCCCAGAGGGAACATCAACAAGTCACAGATGGAGGTACATCCAGCTGATGACTCCCAAATAGGATGAAGCACGCGTCCTGTATTCCACTGCTAGCCCCTACCTATCTTTGCTCAAAAAGCTTGTGACTTGAGGCAATCCACACAGGATGCACATATGCCAATAAGAGACCGATCAGTTCCAGTTCTGAATAACAATGGGAAGATTCAAGCAAACAATACCAAGTGAATTTAAACTTCACTCCATCGTACATGCAAGTGGCTATAAGGACTCAGTAGCTGAGTGGAGAATGTGACGGCGTTCGAAGCGAACACTGGTGGGTTTGAGTCCCGAAGTGAAAATCACCTCTGAGATGTAGGTACATCCATCTGACGAATCCTAAACAGGACGAAACACGTGTCCTATATCCCAACTACTAGCCACTATCTATCATTGCTCACAAAGCTTGTGACTTAAGGCAATGTCGAGGCAATCCACACAAGATGCACCTATCCCAATAAGAGACTGACCAATTGTAGTCTTAAAGATCAATGAAAAGATACAAGTAAATAAGTAGCATGTATAAGAAATAAGTAGTATTAATATTATCATCATTATTACAATATTTATGTGCATTTTCTTTTCTGGAAAATTGTAATGTAGGAAGACTTTTCATTTTGAAAAAACAAACAAACAAAATAAACATCATAATACCAGACACAAAATATCAAACGAGTAATCAACAAAATTCTATTTACATTTAGATACGTAAAGTAAACCACAACAAGAGTTGAATAAAAGATTAAACTGTCAACAACAACAACAACCACAGTAACAAGTAAGTTCTTTCTTTCTGTTTTCTTTCTTTATATCATGGAAGAAATTGAATTGGTTATAATGATTGAAATGTATATGGGTTATAGGTATCTGTTTATGTATGTATGTATAGAATTGCACGCATTATCTATACTCAATTCTTACAAAAATAATAACACAAACCAAATAAAGTTTAATTTAATAATGTATGCAAATAAAAATAAGTAACAAGACAGTATCATGTAGATATTTGAAGAAGAAGAAAAACTACTACTACTAGTACTACTGATATAAATGATATTAGTAGTAGTAGCAGCAGTAGTGGTGGTGGTGGTGATAGTATCCATAGTAACAATAAACAATCTGTTTTAGAGTTCAATTCAAAAAAAAGAAAAAAAATAGTTGTGCATGAATTGGAATTTTATTAAATTTTGTATTCTTGATTTTTTTTATGGGGGGTTTTTGTTGTTGTTGTTGTTGTTGAAAAAATAAACAAACAAAAATTTCTTTTCAATTCTCTTCTATCAGGATAATTGTTTTCTTATACAATGTATATAATGAATAAATCTGTAATAGGATAGAATAGTTGATTAGAAAATAATACATGTGAGATGATATAAATTATAGAGAGAAGTGTTACTACTTTTCATTGTGCATTCAAAATTGTCGAAGTGTATTGTTGAAGAGCCCACCCACTCCCATTATACTAGGACGAAACGATTATCCTGTGCTTATAGTTTATAAATAATGGTCTAACTAAAATCATATAGTGATTAAAACTAATAATAAGTCTACAATCTTCACAAATCCCTATATACAAATTAATAACTATGTGCTCATTAGTTTCTAGCTTCAAGATGAAACTCCTAAAATTCTAGTAAGATGCAGTGACTAGTAGAGTTCAACCATGCTGAGTGTGATACAGTTATTCATTGCAGGTAATAAAAGATAGTCGCAGAATATTGTGAAGTGATTTGAGTTGGACATTAACACCACTGGGTACTGGCTCAGTAGTTTATAGGTCCAGCGTCCGCGCAAGGAGTACGCACTACTGAGGAGTGCCGTACTATGATCAGGTGGTCGTCTATCTCTTCCAAGTTTTCGACGGTGGTTCGGCTAATATCAATTTATGATTTTAAATAAGGAAATATCTTAAATAGTTCGATGTTAGTGTCTTTGACCATGGCACTTAGTGATATGGGTTTTTATTTTACAATGAACCAGCATGATGGCTAGATCTAGAACTGCAGTCATCTAATGTTAGACAGTATACTCTAATTCGACTATACGACAATAAGCACCTACAACGCCCAACATATGATTGAACCTGACAGTTAAAGTACATTACTTTTCATTTGTTATTCAACATTGTGCATTTTCAAAATTCCTTTCTTACCTGTAGACCTGAAATTCTCAGATTCAGTACTGTGTCCGAAATCATTGGTGCGTACTACTGAGGAGTTACAAGATATCATGAAGTATTTTTTTGTTCAGGGATTGAATGAATTTGAAAGCATTAACAGTCGAACTCTAGATCACTAGCTTAAAAGTGTTGTACTCCTTGCGATACTTGAGAATCTCCACCTCAATCTCGTGTAGGATCATCAACTCACGCTTCTTATGGTTCTCAAAGTTGGCAGTCAAATACAATAATAAGATGCTAAATTGTACGCATGCATATTAGCCTCTTAGATATAACGTTTTCCTCCTAAATACTATCATCTTTTCAATTATAGTGTATATTAAAGAATAATATTAGCAAGCAAATCATCAAAAATTAGGAAGAACAAATCCACTACATTGGCTATATTCTCACTAGTGACTAATTTCAACAGGTACTTCTCGGCGCCTAACCATTTCAGATGTGCGACGGTAGCCTACCAATATCATTGGAAGATGATGGTTTTGTAATATCGTGAATCAATTAAAGTCAAAAATGTAAATCATTGGATATCGGCTACGTGATCTAATAGTTAAGCACTCAATGTGAGGTCCACAGGTTTTAGGTTCAATGCTTGACAGGGTCATGGATGAGAACTGTTTTTCGGTTCTTTACTAATATACAGCACCTGTCCAGTACTTCCTAGTGTACGATGGTCAACTAACGCAGGTTAGTCCATAGTGTAAGATAAACGCTCATTGACTTACCATGGCAAAAGCATATAACCAGTAAATCTATTCATCTTGTATATAATCCATAATGAATGTTTCATCATCGTCTAAATCATCTTCATCGAATAAACGTCTAGCATCGGATGATAAAGACAATGTTTCAACACTACTATTTTTTGAGTGCGATAAATTTCTTGCCGACAAAGCACCTTTCACTTTGGTTGTTGTTGTTATTGTTGATGATGATGATGATGACGGCACTGTTAACGATTCTGATGTTGATGTTAATGGTGAATAATTTGCAGGAATATCAACTGATTTAAACGATGATATTGATTTATTATCACTATTATTATTACTATTATTGGAAAAGATACTTGGTGATGTAAGAAAGTATTCACTGCCAGCTTTTTTCATAATTGGAGATTGTTGTTCTTGATTTATTGTGACAGTTGATAGTTTACGTTTATTCTCTTTAAGTCGTGTATCCATTTCATGAATACGAAAGTGTAATCTTGATTCTAAATGATAATTTTTATAACTTCTAAAAGAATAAATAAAATAAGAAAAATGAATATCACTAGGTGAGACTATCATTTATGAACGACTTATAAATGACACCAAAATGACTTGGAGTGTATTTGCCTAGTTACTAGATTTAAATTAGGGTTATAAAACAGTTTGATAGAATATGGATTATGGTTGAAAGTAGTGGAGAAGATTTGTAGCTCAGGTGGATGATTTTGATGAAGTTTTGTTCTTTGAGTTAGATGGTTTAGGAGACACAACCAAAACAAAGAAGTAAACAATGAAAAATTTAAGGTCAATAAGAACCAATCAACATCGAGGTGTTCAGAACAAGCTGTGAAACGTATATGGAGAAATTCGAACACTTAACTTCTATCTGAAGTTTGTGCTGATGATGTCGTTCAGAAGAACGATGAAAGCTCCACGACCAAACCATCCAGCTCAGAGAACAAAACTCCATCAAAATGCGATTGAAAGTTGATAGTTAGAATTAAGAATAAGATTTACCATTTTTCATCACAAACTAATATTAGCTTAAATGTCAAAACATTATTTAGCCAAATGGATGAATGAATTTCGCGCCAAAATCAAAGACTCATTATCTTAAATCTGATTGGTTTGTTCATAAATTATAGTCTTGCTGTATCAATGTTAAACGTGGAATTAATTTGATACTCTTTAAGTAGTTTTGTGATTACAACATGACATCATGAGTCTTGACCTCGGTTAACCAATAGAAATAAGGTTTTAAATAGATATTCAATAGAAATAGTTGTTGAAATACTACATTCTATGGAGAAATGTTACATAATATATTAGTATCAGATGGGTTTTGTAGAGATTATAGTAATTTCAATGGTTAACATCATGAGTCATTTGAAGCTAGACTACCATGGAGATTCGAACCCAGGACCTACTGGTTTTACCCAGTAGGTCATGGAAGCGCACTGCTGAGGAGTCCCACAATAGGACGAAACGGCCATCCAGTGCTTCCAGGTTTTCCATGGTGGTCTAGCTTCGATTGACTCACGTTCTCAACCATTGAAACATAATATATTAGCTCAAACTAAGACTTTCTCAATTATATCTTGCATAAATAACCTCATTCATCAGTCTCTATAAATACTAGTCATCACTTAAAGTATATGACTTATTAATTAGTCTATCATCTTTCCTATTGGACTGTAGAATCAGAATTAACGTCATCTTTGGTGTTACACTATGATACAATTAATCGAATTGCATTAGTCACTATTGAAACTGTAATTAGTAATAGATCAATAACAGTATCTAACTAAAATTTAATGAAAAATGTATTTAAAGGAGTTTACAATGAAGTTACAGGTAGTTTTATCTTTATTCTAATTGATCATGTCGGCTCTGGTACAGCCGAGAGTAGGGAAAGTCAGCTCTCCTTCTCTAATTGCTCTCATATGGCCACGCGTATACAGACACTGACAGGGAAGTTCAATTCACTGCCTTCTTACTGTTCTTTACGAAATTGTGAGGACGAAAAGTGAATGTTCGACGCTTTAACCGGGCAAGTGCACACGGAGGATTCAACTAGAGGAGCTGTAAAACCTTGATTCCAAACCATCGAGGTACATGGGATCCAGGATCCTGATGGAACAAATAGCGTATGAATCAATCGTTGGTTGCCGACTACCATGAGACTACATTTCCTTACGTTGCTGCATTGTCTTGCGGATTAAATCATTAGGTCAAAGACTCTGGATGTAGCGCTGCTTCGTTTTGGGCAACCGGGAAGTATTACAGCCCACACACATATCAAGTGACTTGTATGGGGTGCATATTTATTCAGTGCCTCCTTGTACCAATAATTATGTGTTCAAATAAACAAATAAAGAACAATTGAAGTCATCAGAAGTTAGAAAAGAAAACGTTTCTCGAAAATGAGATCTCACTTATTAGTCCACCAATACCAAAAAACCTCCTTATTGTACTATAATACCGTCGTAAATTCTTTGAAATATCATCAAGGCATTTCAGTTCACACAAAAACTATTCATTTGTGAGATCAGTTAAATCAATAGTAACTATAACGAATCATATATGATACTAGACAATTGTTTCATAATCCTATGAATTGTGAAATATCTATAATTGAACTACTATTCAATAACTAAAGGAAAACATTGTAGATCTTAGATAATGAACTATTCAATTCAATTCTTCAGAGAATTAAAATAACCTATTGTTACATTGATTAACAATAAAGAGTATTCAATGAAGAAAATTTTCTCCTCTCAACGAAACCATTTACTTAAGCTGTAGTTGTATGGTAATTATATGAGTCTATAGAAGAATAGAAAAAGTTGCATCAACTATTCAACGAGGTTACGTAATAATCGGGGGAGGGGGCCAGTAGGCATAAAACGTTATATTAACTTAGATTCTAAAGTTTAATGGAATGAGGATGATAGACTATTGAATTATTTATAGGCATATACAAACACTATCACTATCTAACCAGTAAGTTAATCGTTTTATTGGAAATAGTATTCAACTTACAATGCTTTTTCTAAATGTTTCACTGCTTCATCAATTTCTCCCTCTTCATATGATAAATGACATAATTCCATTTCACAATATGGTAAAAGATAAGTATCCATTTTTAATTTTCGTTTACTAAACAAACAAAATAATAATCAATCAATGAATTCGAATAGACCTGAGATGATGATGAAGATGTGTAGCTTAGATGGATGATTTTGATAAGTATTATCTTTTGTGCTAGATGGTTTGTTTAATCGTGGACATCATCTCTTCACGACTGAATCATTCAGCTCAGAGAAAAAACTCAATCAAAATCATTTCACAGTATTGATCTATAGATTAACATAATGGTACATGATTCTATTCCATATGGGAAACATTTGTTCAGTGTATATTGGTTTACAATAACTGTACAGCTAATGTCAGTGTATAAGAATTCAATCAGTCAGCAACAACATAGAACTTCGTACCTACGTACGTATATCAGTTCGAGTTGCCATATCACATTACCACATAGATACAATTGTCGATTCATATCCAGTAGTGGTAAAGATAGCAAAACTATAAGCAGTAATCAAAACGATTAGGTTTTGAAGATGTTATTCAAGGAGTACAGTCCAGTGAAATAAATTTGGAAAGAGAAAAAATATTAAAAAAAACACAAAGAATTCAGAAGATTGAAATTTGAGAGAACACAAAGAGTGGATGCACCTGCGCCATTGCAAACGATTTTGAACCATGTCATTCAAGGTCTCTAACCATCGATTGTTATCGTCTTGCGGATTTCAACCAGGTAGTCTACACCTAGCAACATGACTCAGTCTACTTGTTAAATAATTAAAGATGATCCGTAGTAAGCTGTTTAGAGATGTAGCTTTCATAATATTTGACACTCATATCAGAACATTTCTTAAATTTTAAGTTAACTATCATTGCTTATGTAATTTGAACCGTCGCCAAATAGTGTCACATTGAGTTCTGTAAGATATTATATACTGCTGAATACCAACTTGCGTAAAACCTAAATCCAAGGTGTTCTGATGATTACACCAACCATGCTATCATTCAATAATAGTTTATATGATCTCAACTCATCTTAATCAGTGACTACAACATAACCATATCGGACAGTAATGACTAGCACTTACTCACTTACTTTCTTACGCCTGTTACTCCCAATGAAGCATAGGCTTCAGACCCACCGTGTTCATCAATGATGCTGCCCAGATATGTAAAGGCTTTTACATCTTCCAAATCTTCTTTGTCAAGTGTCATTCGATTGTTGCATGCTGTTTTGTGTCAGAAAATCTCGCTTTTCCCTTTGTGTATGTTGAGGCCTATTGCTGTTTGAGGCTGCTACTACAATGACTAGTACTAACAACTAAACAAACATGAAATTATCTTAGTTCAAATCGTAAACTGATCTTGTTTGGACTACAGTTAAATATGTGGAAGCACTGGGCGAGCATTTCTTCTCCCATTATGAGACTCCTCAGTATTGCTCATCCTCAACTCACCATCCAAGAATACAATTCATAATATTGGTTCCTTACACATGAATAATGATGAAATATATTTCAAAAATGTTCCATTGTAAATTGAATTACATAACACTTACGATTGTATTATTTCAGTGAAACACATATAAGCTTGAAATGCTTGACCACGACATCTAAGACAAACTCCTTTAAGCATTAAAGCTAAACAATAATCATCATAAAATGTTTCACTTGTATCTAAAGATAAACATAAATATGATAGATAGATAGATGGATAGATAAAAGGGAAGAATACGTGTAATTTTCAAATAATCTACTCAATTAAATAATCAATATGAGCTATTCCATTACATATCAGATAAGCTAAAGAACTTTGGGTTTCATGCTAGTTGGCAAACGGCGATATAGTGTGCATATTCAGGTAATTAGCACTCCTCATAAGATTCAAGCATGCTTCATCGAACCTTATCACTTTAAACATAAGTTTTCAACAATTGAGACTTCTGATAACCTACATTAAGACTCAAATACTTACAACTGAATAGTGACCGATATCATGATTGTCTAATCTTTAGTTTTAATCGGATTTAATTAGTTCAGTTGCAATATGATCACTAGTCATAGTGATACCTTTTTATCAAGCTCCAGCTAGTACGAACTATTGAGTGCGTCTAATCAATAAACATTAAAACATAATACATGTTAAGTTGAGTCATCCAAACTAGACTCTTGTTACTATTCAGTGATCAACTAGTATAGGAACTGGATACTATTTCAATATGTGACTCTCTTCCTGTAATCTATGCATTTTAACTTGGTCTCCTCAGTCAGTCAGTAACAACGTTGAACGTAGAACAAATTTAGCTCTTGATACACTTTAACTACTTAGTATTGTTCTACTGACAGAGTATGTAATTTCATCCAAACTACTATTCCGTCTAATTCATTTGATTGTATCTTCGCATTGTTGCAATTGGTCAGTCTCTTCTTGGTATATCTGCATTCTGTACGGACTATCTCGATATTGTCTTAAGTCACAATGTTTATAAGCAAAGATAAGTAGTGGCTAGCAATGGATCCAAGACGCGCGTTTCGTCCTATTCGGGAGTCGTCAGCTGGATATACTTTATACATTGTGATGATAAAAAGAAGAGAAAAATCATTGTATGGTGTATATCTCACCTCTATTTTGAAATAATTCATTAATTTTATTCTCACATATCATAATAAATGCTGTTATAGCATCTGGTTGTGACTGAATCATTTTGAATCCATTCCAAATGAATATAAGTTCCTGTGGTTCAATAAAAAGATAAATGACATACCTATTATTTCATGATAAAATATTTTACTACTTAAATGAGAAAAATAAGTAGAATAATTGTGTTAACAACACATCAACATGAAGTTGAAAATAAGTGTTTACAATGTTATAACTTGTACCCTGTGTCTTATTAGTGTATCACGTACTGCCAATTAGAGAAAAGTGACTTATCGACCGGACGAATGACGTATAAAAACGTACGAGCAGTTTACAGTCTTTATCAGTTCTTCTGCATGCCTAGCTCTGCCTGTTAAGTTCAGAACACAAAGCTCAGCCTCTGCATTATGAATCATTATATTTCAAACATAATGTGTTTATATACAAACCAAACAGACCACACTGTACCATAAAATAGAAAATACACATTTATATAAGATTTAACCAAAAGAGTGACTGTGAATGTGTGAGACTGTAATTAAGTAAACTTGGCCTAACTCAAGTACAATAACTCGTCTATGGGTCAAAATAAAAGGAATATGAATATGTTTTGTCCCGATCAGAATAATAAAAGGTGACTTTTGGGATCTGTTGATGGACCAATACTAAACGTATATTTCTATTGTATAATTATTAAGTAACTAAACTATGCATATTCATATTCCTCTTATTATAAACTTTACTATGACCCATAAACTATTATTATACGTTTTACAATTCTTGATTTATACGCAGTATATTGATTAATACCTCCCACATTCACAGCCACATCTGGCTAATTCTTGTACGAATATTGTTTTATATTTTATTGGTACGTTGTGGTCTGTTTGATTGGTATATAAACTCAGTATGTTTGAAATATAATGATTCACATTACAGAGGCTGAAATTGGTATTCTGGACTTAACTGGCTGGGCTAGGCAGGAAGCAGGACCGATAAGTACTCTAGACTGCTCACACGAGTTTTAGCGTCATTCGTTCGATCGATAATTCACTGTTCTCTAATAGACGGTCACAAGTTGTAACAGAATAGTTTAGTTACTTAAAGACTATACAATTAAAATACATGTATCGTATTAGTTCAGTAATAGATTCCAACAGTTATCATTTATTATTATCGTCATATAAGTATAATTATCATATTTTCGGATTCGATTCATGGCTGATATTTACAAAGAATACATTTAGTATAAGGAGCTCAATAATGATATAAATTCTATATTGATGATAGAATCACTGGTTAGTTCTTAAAGTGAATCCTAGAATGTTTCGAACCACATGATAAGTTTAAACTTACAAAAAAGGTATCATAAGTGTATAGTATGTGACATTTGAATGTATCTTATTACTAGAGTCACTTCAACTCCTAATTATTTATTTATTTTAACACATAGATATTGGTACAAGGAGGCACCAAATACATATGTGTCACACAGATCTCATTTGATATGTATGAGGGCTGTAATACTGACCGGGTGCCCAAACCGAAGCAGTTGGTTTTCTTAGGGGCCACACCCACAGCCTTCGACCTGAAGGTCTGGTCAACAAGCCAGTGGAGCATCGTAAGGAGATGCAGTCCCATGATAGCCGGTGACCAGCGATTCGTTCATACGCCATTTGTTCCCTCAGGGTACTAGAGCTCATGTGAACAATTAGTTTGGAATGAGGGTTTTCCAACTCTCCTAGGTGGACTCTCCATGTCCACCAACCCGGTTAAAGCGCCGGACATTCGCTTTTCGTCTTCTTGATTTCGTAAATAACACCCCTGCCACGAGAAGGCAGTGAGTAGGAATTCCCTGGCAGAGGCTATATATGCGTGGCTATGTGAGAGCATTTGGAGAGGGAGAGCGGACTCTCTTCACTCTCGGCCGTACCAGGGCGTTTGATGGCAAATGTTACTTAGATTACATTAAGAGTACTAGATGCGTATATGAAGGGATGAAATATGACTATTGGGTAAATTAATATGAGTCGTACTGTTTAAGTAACGATACGACTTTCACCTTGAACAATAGTTATTTCGAACTATACACAATATGGTTAGTATTCATCAGAAAATTTATCTAGTTTTATTATTAGTCATACTTTTAGTGTCCTAGTACAACGTGAACTGTATTATAAAAATAAAGGGAAATATTGATTAGGATCATGAACTAACCAATGTTAGGTTACCACTGAAAACCTTTAAACACTGAGTAGAGGTTTTGTCTTAGTATAGGACTCTTCAATAGTGCATATACAGTTCTTATATGAACCAGAAATATATCGCAAAGTGCAAGTCATCACAATGACTGGCCAGGTAAGATCTAATGGAATGTGATACATTATTACTTATAATGATTAAATTAGAAATTCTAGTATAAACTTACCAAAGCTGGAAGAGTTAGTCTTTTATTTTGTGCAAAATATCGTGAAGACTTTCTCAATGCAATTTTCTCAATTGGTAATGATCGACCACCGAAACGTTTGATCATATGCGGTATATCTCTACAAAAAAAAAGAAATACATCTAAATTTTTACAAGAAATATCATGGCAAGTAAATTACTTGAACAGTTTGACTACTAAAAGTTATTATTATCAAGAATACGTGTTTAACAATATGAATCTTATTATTTTATTTAAGCATATAAACATTGGTACAAGGAGGCGCCAAACAGTTATGCGACACATAAATCATTCGATTTGTATAAGGGCTGGGATACTGCCCGGTTGCCCAAAACGAAGCAGGTGGTTTTATTAAAAGGCCACTCCTCGATCCTTTGATCAAAAGATATAATCCACAAAGTAGTGGAGCAACGTAAGAAGATATAGTCCCATGGTAGCCATTTATTCCATCAGGATCCTGGAGCCCTTGTGCATCACTGGTTTGGGATCAAGGTATTTCATCTCCCTTAGGTGGATCCCCCGTATGTACTAATCCGGTTAAAGTGCCGGACATCCACGTTTCGTCCTCACAATTTCGTAAGCATCACTGGTGCTGTGACAAGACAGTGAGTAGAACTTCCCTGTCAGTTGTTGTATACGCGTGGCCATATCAGAGCATTTCAATAGGGGGAGCTGACTCTTCTCACTCTAGAACCTATTAGGGAATTTGAGGGCAAATATGAATCAAAGTCTATTGTAGTGCCACAAGTAAAAGTACGGAGTACTGCATCGACATTTTATTTCGCCTTAAAATTCATCAGTAATAGTTCATATTTACAAACCTTTCAGTGATAAGGTCCAAAACATTCGTACTTTTATAAAGAGCTGCTACAAAATTCAATGGTATTCTTTAACTAATTCTTGATAATGCTCGAAGATCAATTATACAAGGAAAGAATAAATGTTTAATATTCAATTTTAAGAGCTTCTTCGATTGATAACAACACATGATGTAAACGTTTTTTGATCAACTTTATCTCAACAAAAACTCTAGACATGGCAGAAGGTTTAAAAGATCGAATAAAAGAGAACGAGAACAGCGAATAATTAATGTGGAAACAAAAGAACAATGAAGTTTGAAACGATTAATTGACATTTTGCAAATGATGTATCTATTGTATGGTTCTCAGATTTTACTAAGAGATTCTGTAATTTGTGTATTCAAATATATTCGATTGTCTCACACTTGTGTTCTCATTCACTAAATAAGAGTGTTTATAGCATCAGACATTAATCTTGACTACTACTTGTAATGCATTAATGCTACAAACGAAATTCTTGAAGTATAGAATGATATTCACTATCAATAACAAACCGATCTGATGTATCGAGATAATGTTAGTAGTGATTGATCAGTGAGTAAAAACAGACACAATTGGATACATCATGTGTATTAAACTAATTTTATAGTAGAAATCATTTTTTTCTGTTATTATTATCTGGTCCGTAAGAAAACGTTCAGACAAATGTAGTTGTCGTTGTGTTATACGACCCATACCCAATGTATAACACCATCGGTAGTGAAACACAATGTACACACATGACATTGATCACCACCGAGTGATCAATCAATTATGAATACATCTCAGTTCTACAGAAGGTCAGTCACGGCCAGGAATGCCCAATGGTACAATCTCTGACTGTGAAGCTGGGTCACACGTGGTCGAATCCGTTAGGGAGCACCAGTTCCCTCAAGATTACAGGTACACCTTGCTGACGAGTGCCAAGTAGCACGAAACCCGGGTCCAGGGTTTCCTGTTGACTCCCTCAAAGCATATCTTATCCCAACATAGTGAACGCAATGTCAAGTCATCTACACTAGTGGTTGCATTGCAACTTGGTTGATACCATTCGATCTACACTAAGAAAGACCTGACATACATGACATTGATCCGCACCTAGCGATCAATCAATTATGAGTAGTGATACTATCTTTATTTTAAGGAGTTTCGAATTCTGTCATTAAACATTAATAAATCAAGAAGAAGTTTAGTGAATCATTGTAATAACTAACTAATGTTGTACCTATCACATTTAAATAACTAAGCTTCAGTCAAACTGTCCATATATATTCTAAATTCAGTCAGTATATTAACATATTACCATGATGTTTCATGCAAGGGCAGCATTCCTACAATTCAAGAACATAGGGAACTCAAAACAACTATCAACAAATGTCAAAGTCACAGTCTTCAATACGAACGTCAAGGCAGTTCTACTGTATGGAGCTGAAACTTGCACAACTACTAAAACCATCATCAAGAAGGTACAAGTATTTATGAATAGTTCTCTACGCAAGATATTCGACATCCGTTGACCGGATACCATCAGCAACAACCCTCTGTGGGAGAGAACAAACCAGCTTCCAGCTGAAGAAGAAATTAGGAGAAGATGTTGGAAATGGATAGGACATACATTACGCAACTCATCGAACTGGATCACGAGGCAAGCCCTGACTTGGAATCTTGAAGAGAAGCGGAAGAGAGGAAGGCTAAACAACACTACGTCGAGAATCGGAAGCAGATATGGAAAGGATGAACTGGAAAGAGCTAGAAAGGATAACCCAGGACAGTGTTGGACGGGAAATGCTGGCAGTCAGCCTTTGTTTCTTCGCGAGGAGTAACAGGCGTAATTAAGTAAGTATGATGTTTCATGTTATCGTATTCTGTTCGTTCTGTTCACATCACTACTAGTTCCTAATATAAGAGAAATGATATGGATAGACATAGTATTCCCATTTCATCTCATGAATATTAGTACAATCATCATAGTTTATCTGTATTAAAATGGTAATCAGTAAAGATCTTTAAATATATGTAAAAGGTTATCAAGTTTTATTATTCTAACTAAAATAGATAGAAAATAAAGAAAACTAAATGGTTTTAATAGATGGTTACTATTTCATTCATTAACTTCGCCTGTAGCTCTTCCAGAGTTATTGCTGGTCCGAAGTCCGGGTAAAAGAAGAAGATTGAGCATGGGGTTAACAACCTCATCCCGTAAATAAAACTAGCTGACCAGAAAATAAACTATTTCATTCATTTTTAAGGTTTTCTATACTTTGAATCAAAACTTGATTTGAACTTGATTATTGGTATAAGATTAAGTTGAGCATTTATTTAAAGTTGACAAAATGAAATGTAGGTTACAAAATTACTCAGTATCTAAATAGATAACGAGATGACGTTTGAAATGAACGGTGGTGAGTTCAAGTCCCAAAGTGAACATCAACTCTGAGACATAGGTACATCCAGCTGACGAGACCTGAATAGGACGAAACGGGCGTCATGTATTCTACTGTTAACCATTATCCATTTTTATCAGAGAGCCTATAAATTCTTGGATAATGTGTTTAACTAAAGAATCTATTTGATATCAATAACTTACGTTAATAATTGATCAACCACTTCTTGTGGTTTTTCAATTACACCATCATGATTTTTCATTTCATATGCAGTACGATCTTCTATACTTTGTAAAAGGAAAGCTGCTTTCATATATCTATAAGATGCTTGACTCCATCGACTTTCTAATGCTAATTTCTCTGTGTACAAAATTGCTTTTTGCCAATCTGCTTGTAATCTGTAAATATAAAATACAATGAATAAAATGAAGTTATCCTGCTTTCAACCATTTGAATAATCAGTTTTTTTCCAAGAAGAATATTTGAAAGCGATAATTTAGGAGATCCAAATTAACCCAGGTTTCTGTTAGTTGAAACTAGTCATTGAAATGTATCTTCTATTTGCCGAAATCCGATACTTTCTATAGAATTCTAAGGATAAGATTATCATGACATTGGTCACTGCTTACTAACCAAGCAGTATTTGCTTGATTTCTATCAGTTCAATTCATTATATAATAAAATATTTGTTTTCATGGAAAGTTAGAAAATGATATCAAGTTTGTGATTGAGATCATGGATCGATTGATGTTAGACCAGCGTCGGAAACCTAGAACCACTGAACGGCCGTTTCGTCCCATTGTGGGACGCATCATCAGTGCGCATCCACGATCCCGCTCACGGAATTCGAGACTGAAGGCTCTGGGTTCGAATACCGCGAGCGGGATACTGATATCAAGTTTGTTTTCAACACAAAGTTAGTTTCATAACAATTTTTTGCATCATATACTGGTTTCAGTTCCATAACTTTGCATTGATCTACCTTTATCTAGTCTTTCTACAAGTTACTCCAAAAATAAGCAACGGCTTGAAATTTCTGTACTACATATTAAATCGATGAGTTTTATAGCCTAATCGATCACAAAACTTTCAATAATACAAAGGTTACCAAAGACGGTAGATAGAAATAAAGATGTCATTATCGTCATTACAATATCATGTATGTTATTGAATGTGTTCTCTATTCACGACTTCATATTAGATCATGCTTACATCCTAAATCCAGTGTTTATCTTGCTGTGCTAATGAGTTAATACAACTTGGACCGATGCATATATATGTGCCTGATCCTACGTTGTAGCTGATTGAGTCGACTATTACCATTAAATTCATTTAATGAATATTCAAAAAATTGAATAAACGAATTAACCATAAACATATTCTCTTTATTTGATTAAACTAATCATTTGAAAATTCATGATAGATTATGTTGTACATTAAAAGCAGACTGATCAATTTAACAATTACCATCACAAACTTTATTCTTGATCATAAAAGGAGATTATTCTACTATTCACTATTATACAATCTCATCAAGTTATTGGTCAATAGTTAATTAACATAACATATTTATTATACTCAATTGATGATACTCTAATTTCATAAAATAAATGTATTACAATGATTGTTGAAACTTGTTATAACTGTTGGCATGTGTGCCCTGTTAATGGATAACGTGATGATAAAGCCAATTAGAGAGCAATGAATTATTGATCGGACCAATGATGCATAAAACACATACGAGCAGTCTAGAGTCCTTAATAGTCCTCCTTCTTGACTAGCTCAAACAGTTAAGTCCAGAACACCAATCTCAGTCTCTACAATATGAATTGTTTATTTCAAGCGTATTGGGTTGATATACCAACCAGACAAACCACATCTTACCATAAAATAGGAAATAACATTCGTACAAGACTTAGCCAAATGTGGCTGTGAATGAGGGAGCTAGTAATTAATAGACAGAGCATAATTCAAGAATGGTAAATCGCATAATAATAGTTCATAGATCAAAATAAAGCTCATAATAAGAGGAACATGAATATGAATAGTTTAGTTACTTAATAATTACACGATAAAAATATTCGTTTAGTATTGGTCCATAAATGGATTCCAAAAGTTACCATTCATTATTCTCATCGATATATAATAACAAAACTGTTATAGATACCAATGATGTACATTATTTAGATGTCGATTGAGTGAACTGCTAATATGTAACTGACGATCCCTCAATATTTAGATCATGAATCGATACACATTAGACCACTATTGAAAACTTAGGAGCCGTTTCGTCCTATTGTGGGACTTCTCAGCGGTGCACATCGACGATCCCACTCGCGGGATTCGAACCCAGGGCCTTCAGTCTCGCGCGTAGACGCTCAACCTACTAGATAACTGAGCTCGATTCTACGGTATACCAATGATTATGATTTTCAATAAGATTCAGAACATATATTTCATCACCCTACTGAATCATTCTATCCTTGCAAATAAATACATTTAGCATTGATACATTCTAACAAAGATTGATTGAAATTTAAGCCTAAACATCAAATGTTTTTCAGTATCAGTTCATTGTTAAAAATATTTATCCCCTAGTAGATCAAAAACTATCCGATTAAAGATGGATTAAAGTAAATAATAAACGGGGGGGGAAGATTTCTTTTATCAGTTTCACACCAACCAGAGCTGTATTATTAAGAGATCTAATCAGTAATTATGATCTTAAAAAGAAATTCAATTTCTATTGAAGTAACATATTCTTTATAAGTAATCAAGTAAACTTACGCATAACACCATATTAATTCCCAATAACATAGATGATGATAATGTATCCAATCAGATTGTGAATTTATTGAACGTTGAAATAATGTGATAGCCTTTAAAATAATGAAAATATTGAATAAGTCGAAAGCGACCTAGAGTATTCCTGAAAAAAAGACCTAATTGGACCTTAAACAACACTAGAAAACATTTTATCTAATCAGTATTAAACAGAACTTCCTTAAAAACTAATCTGTTCCGAAATCTCTGTCGTCAATTGTTATAACTTGTGAATCAAATGCTTACTTGTTATATCTGGTCGTCGCTGTTTGTTGTGTCGGAAACACTTATCACTTATCACTCAGAACAAGGGACCTTCGAATTTAGAAAATGAAGAATCACGTATCAAATTTCTAATTGAATAATTATCTTGTCCTGCTACTATGTTTAGTAGGATTCCAAATTCCTTTAGAAGCCCAAAAGGCTATCTGAAATGCTCTTTATATATTTCAAGCCATTTTTGTTTTCTCATGCTTAAGTTGTCGTATGGATTTAGTTTGAAGTTATTAAAAGAGCTGAGAAAATCGATTGAAGCGTTCAATTAGAAGATTTATCAGTTTGTACTATTTTAAGGTTGCATGAACTGATCCGAAGATTCATTTAATCTAATACTGAATAGTAACCTTAATGATGATAAACTAGTGTAATGATAAAGTTTGGATTGCAATTTATTATTCATCCGATTAACAAGGCTTGTTAAACAGTTGATCGTATAATGTTTTTATGAAGTGCAAAACATTTCTAACAGTATCCAATCATCACTAAGTGGGATTCGACATACTTGCGATTGTTCACTACTTATTGATCAATAATTTATAAGATATTTCAATCAAAGCTGTAAAACTTTCACATTTCTTTGACAGGATCATAGAGGTAATTTTTTTATTTCAATGGTTAAGATTATGAGTCAGTTGAAGCTAGATCATCATGGAAAACCTGGAAGCACTGAATGGCCGTCTCGTCCTATTGTGCGACTCCTCAGCAGTGCACATCCACGTAACGACCGTCCAGTGCTTCCAGGTTTTCCATGATGATCTAGCTTCAACTGATTCATGATCTTAACCATTGAAATTACTATAATATCCACAAAACTCATCTGATATGAAAATATAATTGTTTACTTGATGTAAATTTCCAGATATTTCTTCTAAACGACCAGATAATAATAAGAATATAGCACTATTTGGATATACAACAGACCAATGGTCTAATAATTCACGAGCTTCTTTCATATGTTCTGGTTGTTCAGAAGCTTAAAGAAAATGATTGAAGAATAATTTGATTAATACTTCATTTTTATTATGATATAAATCTATTATTCTTTGAATTTCAAGACTAAATTGTTACATAATGTAAACGCATAGCTAATAAAAATTTTTATTCATCAATCTTCATGAATAATGGAGAAGATTTAAGCTTAGGTGGATGATTTTCGTGGAGTTTTGTTCTCTGAACTGGATAGTTCTGTCGACCAAACCATGAATCCGTTATACTAATACTAACAATAATAATGATAAACATCTATTCCCTAATGATTAAGTTCAGCATCCCAATACGTAGTCTCAACCTGTCGGGTTTAACCACATAGAGACAGAGTTATAAAAGTAAACCATGAGATAATAACTGAATATTCTCAAGATAAACTGCCAGCCGATTTTAATCTTCTATGAGGTTGTAGGTGTGTACAACTGAGTAGTTTAATACTCGGAAGAATCAGCTGTCCATCGTTTGCTGGCTTCTAATTGATGTCTAACTCTTAATGATTTCATAAATTAATAAAAGAAACTTCATCATTATTAGCCAATCATTTATAAGATGTTGGACAAATCGAATTCGAATGATGTGAAATGGATGACATTAACAGGGATACAATTAAATTGTGTAACGAATTTGTTTCGTTCTTTTCATTTCACAATCTTTGTTACAAAAAAACTGTATTGAGGATGTTGACAACAATAATTGGTCAGCTGTAATGAATAACAATTGCATAAAACAAATTCTTACAATAAACAAAGAATAATAATTATCATTTAGGATTAATAACTAATTGTAGTTTGTTATGAATCAAAACTTTATAGTTTTCGCCCAAAAATACCCTGATGCGGCCAAAAGTGGGGTGAGTCAGCTCTCCCTCTCGAAATGCTCTCACACGGCCACGTGTATACAACCAATGACAGAGGAGTTCTACTCACTACCTTCTCGTGACAGGGGTGTTTTTCTGAAATTGAGAGAACGAATGTCAAATGTCCGACGCTTTAACCGGATTAGTAGAAATGAAAGATCAAACTAGGGGAGTTCGAAAATCCTGATTCAAAACTAGTGGTTCACAGCGGCTCCAGGATCCTGATAAAATAAATGGCGTATGAACCGATTGTTGGTCACCGGCTACCATGGGACTGCATCTCCTGACGTTGCTCCATTGCTTTGTGGATTAGACCTTTAGGTCAAAGGCTTCGGGTGTGGCTCCCTTAGAAAACCAACTGCCTCGGTTTGGGCACCCGGACAGTATCCTAGCTCTCATACAAATCGAATGATTTAAGTGCCACATATCTATTTGGCGCTTCCTTGTACCAGTGTTTATAAGGTTAAATAAATTTATAACTTCCAATGAACAGTTCTACCTATTGAACGAAATCGTGTTATTACTAGACATATACTGAATAGTTTAGACTTAACATTATCAAATCTGAAAATTTAATTTCCAAAGATTATTATGTGATCTATATGAAATTGTTCTATATATATTTTATTTATTTAACACAAAAACATTGATACAAGGAGACACCAAATGGTTACGCGATACATAAATCATTCGATTAATGTGAGGGCTGGGATACTTCCTGGGTGCCTATACCGAGGTAGATGGTTTTATTAAAGGGCCACTCCTCGATCCTTTGATCGAAAGGTAAAATCCACAAAGCAGTGGAGCAACGTAAGAAGATATAGTCTCATGGTAGCCGGTGATCAACATTAAGTTTTTTCGCCATTTATTCCATCAGGATCCTGGAGCTCTTGTGCATTATTGGTTCGGAATAAATGTTTTACAACTCATCTAGGTGAATCCTCCGTGTGTGCTAACCCGATTAAAATGCCGGATATTCGCTATTCGTTCTCTGAATTTTGTAAACAACACCGGTGCCGTAAGAAAGTAGTGGGTAGAATGTCTGTCAGCGGTTGCATACACATGGCCTTGTGAGAGCGTTTGGAGAAGGAGAGCTGACACTCTCCACTCTCAGCCGTACCATGACATTCCGGGGGTAGTCTCACAAATATCATATATATTAGCTGTACTGATAACCATTTCAACGTGATCTTTGTTAACATAATAAGAACAAAATAAATATGGTGTACATGAATAAATAAGAAAGGTTATTGTTCGATTTTAACAGGTAGAATCAGTTCCTTCAAAATTTATGGTAATCATTATTGACCAGTCGTATCTAATACAAAACGTTGATCTATAGCTTCTTCCAGTCTATCTTAAATCATCTGACAATAAAACTTTTATAAAATTTACTGCAATACGAATGATTAAATAATTTCTTTCTTGTTAATTGGCGCACGTCAGTAAGGTGTACCTGCATTCTTGAGGGAACTGATGTCCCCAGATGCCAGACTTGACACACATGACATTGATCACCACTCAGTGATCAATCAATTGTGATTACATCTCATTCCTACCGTAGGTTGGTCGCTGACCGGATAGCCCAGTAGTAACCTCTGATTGTGAAGCTGGGTGACATGCGATCGAATCCGTCAGAGAGCACCAGTTCTCTCAAGATTACAGGTACATTTTACTGACAAGTGACAAGGGTTTCCTGTTGACTACCTCCAACCATCTCCTTATAACCAATTTACTATTTAACATAAAACTATGGAGTTCATTAATAAACTATAAAAATCATAGAATAAATACTTCAATTATAAATCTTCCATAAATTGTACTTCATATTCTACATGATTCTTCTAATTCATGATTTTCAATATTTCTTTTATTATTCTGTTCAACTCGATCTTCTTAACCTTGTGCTACTAGGGATTCAATATCTAAATGGTGTTACATAATACTTATGTCTGTCGAAATAAGTAGCATACACCAAAATTTCATTGAACAGAGTTTTTAGCAAGTATGTAAACTAATCAATACAAGAATTCACTTGGTGTTGTTTTACTTGTATCTTTCGATTGTTATTTAGAAATGAAATTGATCATTTTCATGTTGACATATGTGCATTCTGTGTGCATTGCCTTGATATAGCCTTAAGTCATAAGCTTCTTAAACAAACATAGATAGTGGCTAGCAGTGGAATCTAGGACACGCGTTTAGTCCTATTTGGGACTCATCAGCTGGATATAAGTGCATCGCAGGTCTTACCTAAGTAAAACAACGCCAAGTGAATTTAAACTTCACCCTATTTCACAAGCAGGTGGCAATCAGGACTCAGTAGATTAGTGGATAAAGCGATGGAGTTTGAAGCGAACGATACTGGGTTTGAGTCCCGGAGTGAACATCAACTCTACGATGCAGGTACATCTAGCTGACGAGCCATAAATAGAACGAAACACGAGTCCTGGATTCCACTGTTATCCACTATCCATCTTTAATCAACACAAGAATATACTGCTAATGAGATGGTAGATACTTTTGGTGAATATGTGTTCTTCGACCTAAATGGATTAATTCATAAGCTTTCCAAAAGTTATTATGATCAGCAGAAAACCAATTTTTGGTATAAACTAATAATGATACAAATTTACCAAATGATTCCTAACTATGAAATAGATTTTTGGAAGTTATCATAAGACATCATGAGAGAATAGTAGTAGAATATGATGGATAGTAGATGAGGACCACGCTTCATTGTAAATTAATCAAAGTTTAATATCACTAACTGAACTATTATATACAATAACTTAAAGATATGATCCTTAACTCTGAAACTTAGTTCAATTTCAATTCAATCTCTTTCGTACAGAATGTGAACAAGTCTCAAGCTAAAATGAGATATTTATTCTTTAATGCTTGATTTTTAATAGTGCTACTGATATTGACAGATATAAGTAGTAAGTATCATCAATCGATAGTGAAATGATTGGTGGTAGAAGGTTAAGGAAATCGAAGAAAAGAGAATGGAGAACAGAGAATGATTGATGTAGAGACGAATAAACAATGAAGTCTAAGACAATTGATTGAATGAAATAAAGTATTTACTGTATGCATCTTAGATACTACTCAAATACATTCGATCAGTCCCCACTTGATGTTCTCGGTTCATTACAATATTCAATAAATAATCAATAAAAAGATCATAATAATTTAAATTATATAACTTACATACACTGACAACACTGTCACCTACAAATATATAAATTGTATACATAGAACCAATTTGATTAAAATCTTATTCTAAAATGTAATGGTTTTCAATTGGTTATATAATTAAAATCATTCAATTGTGCAAATGATCTTCATACATAGTTAACTAAGTCAACTAAGTCACAGTAATTTCTGATGTAAGAGTGAATTGAATAGAAGTTAAAGATGATTAGATCAAGTGATGATATTGATCTATTTTAATTCTTGAAAGAAGTTGAAATGTGTTATATTAATCAGTGTAGACCATTTGATTTAGATCAGCACAATTATCACCACTGATAAATATAAAGATGTTAAGTTACAAGACTTGGAATGGATCATATTAAGGTGGATATATTCAATCTTAAGTTGTAAAATTATTTTAAACTTAGTACTTCATAAAGGTATTCTTACTTCTTGAGTTATATCGTTACTCTACTACCATTGATGATAATGTCATAACTTCTATTAATCTGTCATTTGTCATGTTAATTTCATCTCGCTGTATTTGTTATAACTTGTGACCTGTGTGCCCTGGTAATGGATAACGTGATGATAAAGCCAATTAGAGAGCAATGAATTATCGATCGGACCAATGATGTATAAAAACACGTACGAGCAGTCTAGAGTCCTTAATGGCCCTCCTTCTTGCCTAGCTCAACCAGTTAAGTCCAGAACACCAATCTCAGCCTCTACAATATGAATCGTTTATTTCAAGCGTATTAGGTTGATATACCAACCAGACAGACCACATCTTACCATAAAATAGGAAATAACATTTGTACAAAATCTAGCCCAAAGTGGATGTGAATGTAGGAGATAGTAATTGATTGATTACGTATAACTCAAGAATGGTAAATCGCATAATAAGAGGAACATGAATATGAACAGTTTAGTTATTTAACAATTATACAGTAGAAATACACGTTTAGTATTGGTCCATAAATGGATTCCAAAAGTTACCATTCATTATTCTCATCGGGATATAACAGTATTTATGTTGTATATATGTGCCATATTCTAACTTGTTCATCCGATAAAACTCGTTATATCTAACTGAATGTATTAAGTTTACACATCAAACACATCAATGGTATTATAGATAATCACATCTGGTTACAAATACCTACTGTTTGAGATACGTTATGTCCTACCACAGATATGTCAAAATAATACGTTTTCATAGGTCGTATGTTTTTTTACTGCATTAATTACTAAATGATGATCCATGTCAGACAGTGTCATGGGTCACACTCAAAAATTGTAATCAGTTTACCATTTCACCATAGATTTCCGCCAAGGTCATAAACTTTGCTGAGACAAGATCTTACGAGTCGATACTAAAACTACTGGTGGTATGAAAGTGATGAAACAATATCGTCCATGACGAATTATTTCCGAATTGATTTAAGTACTTGATATTCATTCAGTGTTTGGAAGCGACTAGGCTATAGACTGAGGTCATCGCATCTATACCTATGTGTATACTATATAACTAAGTTACTTATACTTGCGAGTGAGAGCATCTATACCTATGCGTATAAGATTGAGTGTATAGGCCTTGATTTATGCATTCTATATATGCATGTGACATATACTTTAGACAGCTTGCACCTATGTCAATGTGTGTACTGTAAGATGTAGGTATCAACGATATGTGGATTCTATAGATATGTGTAACATACACTTGCGATAGAACCATATTCCATAATAGCGTATTCATTATAGCTCTTCACACGTTTAAAATGCTTTACAAGATTCCAAAAGTGACAGGAAAATGTCAACTATAACTTATCCATCTACACTACAGACCATTGTGGACTGTAACGCATCCTCCTGCACTCCAGATGTGGAAATCCCTAATTACACGTAAAAACTACTGAGTAAACTACAAAGTATGCGTTTACTTTGCCTTCTTCAATGCTCCAGTTCCACTGTCTTTGCAAGGTTCTCGTCCTATCTTGAAGAGTCAAAAGGCTTCCGCTAATTAGTTGGGTGAGAATAATACTACCATACGGTAAAGTCTATTAAAATAAATGAAGAGATAGTTTTGTAGATATTCAAATGAAGGTTTTAACCTGTTATATTAATCGCAGAATGGCCGTTTTTTTTAATTCAGCTAATCTACTTACATTATTTTTTATACAGATATACCTAGTTTCAGTGCATCCAATTACCTTATTATGTAAACCAGTGGTTGACTCCTATCCAACTATTTAAGATACTTCGTTTCACTCACTCAATAACTTCTCCTCACTGTTGATGTTTATTTTAATTAGATGCATCATTGTAATTGTCTAGTTATCAAGAGGGAAATAAATTTTACTTATTCAATGTTGACAATAAACATTTTCATTATGTTAGAATATTACTTACCTAACATATGAGTAGCATATAAATCATATGCTAATAATAATAGAGCACATAACGGACCACGTAATGAATCTTTCATTCCTGCACCCATTCTAAGTTGTTCTAAACCGAATTGCTGAATACATAGAAAATGAAGTGTAATGTAATCAAAATGAAATGATGTCCTGTCGAAAGATATAACATTAAACTGATCAATAACACCAACAAACTCATACACACACATTCATTTCTACCTGAAATTTGTGCTGATGATGTCGTTCAGAAGAACGATTAAAGTCCCACGACCAAACCATCTAGCTCAGAGAACAAAACTCCAACAAAAACATTCCTTTTCAAAACAGTTCTGAACATTAACCGATAAAAAATGTAAGATGAAGTATTTAGATCCAAAAACTATTGAATATGCCCTATGAAATTTAGCTGATTGAAGATGAAAACATTTAGCGTGTTTGAAGATTTTATGCAAATAAAACAAATCAGGTGATGTGTCAATCGTATTCATCTCAGATTTTACTTGGGATAGCATTTAAAATCAGACAGCCTTAGATAGATATTTCGTTTCAGTATGCGACTAATTATTAGTGTGTACTTACAACTGGCCATTCCACTAGTACTCTTTAAATGTTCTCAAATTTCTTGTGAGAACTTGTTACTTGTGGAATTCAGACATATCTTAGATGAAACTAGTGTTGACAATAGCAATGGTTGATCTATGAGCTTCATCACAAACTTGTTGAAGTTAGAATTGTACATTTTTTTGTCGGATCCGTGGCTTTTATGGTTAACCTCTTGCTGCATGACCTAAAAATTGTGGGTTTGACTTAAAGTGAATACACTTCTTTTACATGGTTCAAAAACTTGTCAAGGTTAGAAAGAGATTCACAGGTTCTAAAATCGTAATACATGCAGTAGAGGAAATCATCCATATGGCTTCATAATAATCGGCCTCTGAAGCCATGATAAGGTCACAAAAACTCTTTCAACCTCGACTACATAACTTCAGCATTGTTTGTGTGCACTCCGGTTGTTGAGTGCACAAAATACTACATGTGGATAACGATACGATGCACATAACCAAGTCTATGTAGGCTTTTGTACGCTCTCCAATCATCTGTATATATTGTAGTACATGGCTGCAGTCAGTGTTACTAGTTCTTTTATTATCCAGTTCTCAATAATTATCATAATTTGCCTCAATTTCGATGGAGCGGAAAAAGGTCCTATTCTAGGAGACTTCTTCCTCCAACACATATTACATCGAAAGACAACATCATGACGGTAATCTGCACAAGATCCACAATTCATTTGATTACTACAATCACAAGTAAAGGAACTTCTTAGTAGTCTCATTTGTTGTAGGATGTCCACTTACTAACTAGAACTAAATAAACCAGTGTGAAGTATTAGAATTATGATTTAAAGTTAATGGTTAGGGGTTAGGAATTAGATTTAGGGTTTTTATCAAGAACCAATATCAGCTAAAATGCTAAAACGATATTTAACCAAATGGAGAGATGAAATTTGCGCCAAAATCTCAGAAATGTTATCTTATATTTGATTGGTTCGCCCTTAAATGATAGTCTTGCCCCTTACTTTATTATTCGATTATGTACACTCATTGCATACTCAATTTCTTTTGGTTACATATGATATCCTCCTGTCTATTGATTACAGTATTAGATAATAGTCTAGATAGATTACATTGATAACTAAATGTCAAGGGACCAAAATCAAAATATTAATAATTTGGCTAATGTTGTAGGGATGTTGCTTGATGTCTTCAATCTTTCAAATTTACTTTATTACATGTGAAATAACATAAAGAATATTGCAATTAATGACAGGAAAAGGTGAGATTCCTATATGGGAGAGAATAAACCAACTTTCATTTTAAGAGTAAATTAGGAAAGGACACTCGAAGTGGATAAGACATACATTACGAAAATCATCAAACTGTATGACAAAGCAGACACTAGCTTGAAATCCTGAAAAGAAACAGAAAAGTGGAAAGCTGGCTGAATAACACACAACGTCGAGAATTGGAAACAGACATTAAAACGATGAATAGCAAATAGAAACAACTGAAAAGGATTGACCAGGACGGTATTTGAAGAAGAATTCTTGTGGGTGGTCTATGCTTCTCCACCATCGGTAACAAGAGTAAGTAAGTAATTATTATATATGTAAATGTAATGTAATTAATTTTTTATTCACTTATTATATTACTTAATAGGAGTTTATGACAGTTAAAGTAAACAGTTTTATGATCATAGTTCATTCCTAGTAGAAACATATTTTGATCAATCAGCTTCGAATTAATAATCTATATTTCCATCAGAATGGGTTTTGTGGAGATTTTTAGAAATTTCATTTGTTGAAATCATGAGTCAATTAAAGCTAGACCATCATAGGAAATCTGGAAGCACTGGACGGCCGTTTCGTTTTAGTATGGGACTCCTCAACAGTTCGCATCCACGATCCCGCCTCCCGAAACATTCGAACCCAGGACCTATCAGTCTCGCGCAAGGCACTTAACCAGCTAGACCACTGAGCCTGCATCCAACGGTGTTAATGTCTAACCTCAACCAATCCACGAAGTTGAGCCACCATACACCATTGTTTCAGTGAGTCCCTATCGCACAACAGACCTGGTTGAACTCCACTGGTAACGATCATAATTCGATTAATGTTAGACAAAATGACCAACCAATGCTCTCAGATTTTCAGTAGTGGTTTAATATCAATCGATACTTATGATCTTAATCAAAAACTTTATAACCTCTATAACCCCATAATGATAACTTATATTGTCTTTTAATATATTACAGTAATTAGAATGACAATTGATTCAGGCAGCTTTCTTTTTGTCATTGACTGCATTTTATAAATTATTACAATTACAGAAAAAGGGTTTTTGTGATTATAATAATTTGCATAGTTCAGATCATGAGTCAATTGAAGTTAGATCACCATGAAAAACTTGAAAGCATTGGACGGCAGTTACGTCCTATTGTGGTACTCCTCAGCAGTGATCATCCATCTAGTGGTTAATCGCTCGTGCACCAGACTGATAGGTCCTGGCTTTGAACCTTGCCAGGCGGGATCGTGGATGCGCACTGCCACGGAGGAGTCCCATACTAGGGTGAAACGGCAGTCTAGTGTTCCCAGGTCTTCCATGATGTTCTAGTTTCAATTGACTCATTATGTCAACTAATGAAATTACAGAAAACCTGACAGTTGTTTCATGTTAAGATAAAATTTTACAGTAATGAGCATTAACAACTCTGTCAGGACCATTGAGCTGGAATCTGGACAATTCACATTACCATTCAATCCGAATGAAGATGTCAAGGAAATACACTTCATGAAAACTAAGAACAAGTTACAAAGAAAAGCGAAGAGAAAGAGAGAACAACAAAATATCATTCATAACATACACGATCTCCAGAGAATCCGACAAATTCCAATAATTTCAATACACGTCTAGGAAGCATGGAGATCATCTATAAAGAAGTGATCATAAAAAATTATATAAATTTAGTTTTTATTTATTTTGGAACAGATAACAATAAACAATTTTTCTTGTCAGAAAGGGGTTCATTGGAGATTTTAGTAATTTAATAGTTGAATTCATGGATTGGTTGAAGTTAGACATTAACACCATTGGATGCTAGTCGGGTCAGTGGTCTAGAGGTTAAGTGTTCGAGCACCAGACCGACAGGTCCTAAACTCGGATCTCACGAGTAGGATCCTGGATTCGTATTTTTGTGGAGTCCCATGATAGAACGAAATGGCCGTCCAGTGCTTCCAGGTTTCCTATGATGGTCTAGCTTTAATTGATTCATTAATTAAGCAATGTCATAATAGATACTACTAATGAGATTATATGATTATCTATCCATTTAATCAAAACATATACCCCCAAACGAGTAGGTTTTCAAAGACAAAACCACCGGTAAACTGATGAAACTCCAGTTAATATCGCATAGTAAGTAAGTGAGTTCTTGGATACGGAAAATATTAACTATAATAAAAATAATAATAGTCCTTTGTTTTTGACTTCATTATTTCTTCATTTCTATATCCATTACTCTCTGTTCTATTCTTTTCTATTCAATCTTTCCAAACATCTGCTACCAGATTTTCCACTTTCCATTAGTGTTACATACTCCAATAAAGAGACGTAATAGTCACTAAGTATACCATCTTGTACTTAACGTTAAAACAATAATTGTATTATGTAATAATTAGTCATACTAATTATTTTCTAGGAAGGTAAAACACGACTCACACTTCCGCGTCGTGCCGAATGACTCATGAACTAACGTGAGGGATAACCCAGGTGGTAGAGATCGGGCTAATCACCCACTCGACCGATACCCTCAAACAATTACGAACTCCACAAAGAAATACAGCACAATTACTCTGGGATGGAAAAAGGACAAAAATTATTTGCTCACGTCTACATAAATTTAATACATAATCAATATTTCAATGACTAGACCCTTCGACGGATTTCAATATCGACCAACTTATCGAGTTATAAATATATATCATTACTTACTAAATTAAAAGCTCCAACACCTAAATGTACACCACTTTCAAAAGCTGATTTACTAATTTCATTTTGCCAATTTCGATATTTTAATATTCTCCAACATATTCTGTACTAGTCAATAAATAAACAACAACAATAATAAATAAGAAATTAAAAAATAAAGGAATATAAACGATGTATCATTTCATTTATGTAGAATATTATTCATATGAACTAACTTAATTACTTACGCCTGTTACTCCTCGTGAAGGAGCATAAGCCTCTCACCAGCATTTTCCATTCAACTCTGTCCTGGGCAATCCTTTCCAGCTCTTTCCAGTTGTTATTCATCCTTTCTATATTTGATTCTATTTCACGACGTAGTGTGTTCTTTGGCCTTCCGCTTTTCCGTTTCCCTTCAGGATTCCAAGTAAGGGCTTGCCTCGTGATGCAGCTTGATAATCAGCGTAGTGTATGTCCTATCCATTTCCATCATCTTTTCCTAATTTCTTCTTCAGCTGGAAGTTGGTTTGTTCTCTCCCACAAAAGGCTGTTGCTGATGGTATCCGGTCAATGGATGTTGAGTATCTTGTGTAAACGGCTATTTAAAAATACTTGTATTTTCTTGATTGTGGTTGTTGTAGTTCTCCAAGTTTCAGCTCCATACAGTAGGACTGCCTTGACGTTCGTGTTCAAGATTGTGACTTTGATATTGGTTGAAAGTTGTTTTGAGTTCCATATGTTCTTCAATTGTAGGAATGCGGCCCTTGCTTTGCCAATCCTCGCCTTTACGTCTGCATCTGAACCTCCATGTCTATCGACGATGCTTCCCAGATATGTGAAGGATTCTACATCTTCCAGAGTTTCGCCATCAAGGGTGATTGGATTGCTGTTCTCCGCTTTGAATTTGAGGACCTTGGTTTTCCCTTTGTGTATGCTGAGGCCTACTGATGCAGAGACTGCTGCTACACTGGTTGTCTTTATCTGCATTTGTTCGTGTGTACTGTAATCCGTCGTATGAATTCCAGATAATATGGAAATTCGTCTCAGGAACTCCGTAATGTCGGAGAAGTTTCCATAGCATTCTCCTATCTACACCGTTAAATGTGCTGGATAATATACTGTATGTACTGGATGATATAACATTTATTGATGAGTTGATGCATGGTATTAGATACAAAATCAGTTGCCGATCCTATCTGAATTTACCACTAATCAATCAGTCAGTCAGTCAGTCAGCAACAACATAGAACTTCGTACTTACGTACGTATATCAGTTGGAGTTGTCATATCACATTAGCTCAGAGACACAATTGTCAATTCAAATCTCATAGTGGTAAAGGTAGTAAAAGCATAAGGAGTAATCGGGACGATTAGGGTTTGAAGATGTTATCCAAGCAGTATAATCCAGTGAAATATATTTGAAAAAAGAAAAGGGACGTGGAGAATTCAGAAGATTAGAATTTAGGAGAACACAAAGTGTGATGCACCTACGACATTGTAAACGATTTTCAGCCATATTATTCAAGGTCTCTAACCATCGGTTGCTATCGTCTCGCGGATCTCAACCAGGTAGTCTATACCTACCAACATAGCTCAGTCCACTTGTCAGTGACTTCATGGATTTGTGTCATGTTTTGGTCTGGCCGTCCCTAACTTTCTTCCAACCTACTCCTACATTATTGATAAACTCTTAGATGTTTAGCAGTTCCAGGTGGTTGGTAAAATGACAAATGCTGGTGAGCGGCTTATGCTCCATCACGAGGAGTAACAGGTGTAAGTAAGTAAGGTAAATTAAACCAAATTTCAAATAACAGCGTCTGTGTCCCCCAGTTAATGAGGTCGAGTTTTCAAACATAGCATAAACTCATCAACTCTCACTTTCTAATTAGCCTTGAACAGACTTGATAAACCTATCGGAATTCTTAACTGGAACTCAACTGTCTTAATTGGAATTCAATAAATTGATGTTGAGAGTCATTTTCAACTGTTATTCAAACCAAGTAAAATTCAATATACGTGGCCAGTAACCGCGTAAATCATGTGTGAATATCATATCTTCGGAAATAATTGACAGGAATTCTAGCTTAACCTCTATTTGCTGTTGGTTAATACACTTTAGTAAAGCTCAGATCCTCATTACTCACTTCCACGATTAGATTTTCCTGTTAAGTTAGTCAAGTCGAGAAAGACACTCAGCTTATGTAAGATATCCACGTCGAGAGGTGATCACTGCCATATATGTTTAGTCATTATTAATAATCGGAATGGCGTGTGGGCGAGAATGATAATGATCGGTTTTCTGCTTAGTCAGACATTTAGACAGTCTGATAGGTGTCAGATGAGTTATATATTCCCTTATCCTTATAATTATTATTATTGATTGTTCCTTGTTGTTGGATTGCGTCGGATTTTTAGTGTGGAAATAGAATTACATTGTGGTCAGGCTTATCACGTGTTCTTGATCAACTGAGTTGTGTTGAAGTCTTGTAGAATCGACATTGGGAAGGAATCTAATGAAGATATACGTCTAAGGTAAATTAACATCTCATACGTGTAAACGTTGAAAAACCAACCGTTATAACATTAGACGAAGTAAAACCGAGCGTTATAACATTCAAAACTCATTAGAAATCAAAGTAAATAACTCATTGATAATGATCTTCAATTCATTAACATTGACATTTTGTAAATTAACTAACCGGTAACATTTGTAACATTGTCTTATTTTCAAAGAACATTTTATAAGACTTGTTAATTTTTCATCTTGTAACATTGAAAGAAATGCCAATTGAAGTAAACCTTCTGCATAACAAAGTTCAGCATGAGCCTGTTCTAGAAAGTTGAAGAAACAAAAAACAAAAAAACAATGTGATGAGACTAGAATTTATGAATGACATTTGATTGACAATAAACTGATTTTGAAAGTATCCAATTAATCACTAAGACCATATGAGGATTATAAAGCTGTGCGAAGGATTTGAATTATCATTTACAGTTGATGATTAAAGTTAGGAATTAGATTTCAGGGTTTTCATCATGAACTGACATTAGCTATAATGCCAAAACTCTATTTAGCCAAATGAGTGCATGAATCGCGTACCAAAATCCTAGATCTGTTATCGTAGATCTGATTGGTTTGTCCATCAACTATAATCTCGCCGTGAAAACACCGTGGAATTGAACTGATTAAAATAAAAGACATTCAGTTCAAATAAGTCATAGATATATCCATAATCATCTCTTGATCATATTATCTTAAGTTCGATACTTGTTAGAATCATGTATGCGTAATATTAAGAAATACTACATGTTGACATCTGGAGTGAAGCATTGGATACAGTGGACAACTAGGATGCAGCTAGACGATCTAGACTTCTCACATCATCTGGCTATTCTATCACACACACAACAACAACAAATGCAGGAGAAGACGACCAGTGTGGCAGCAGCCTCAGCAGCAGTAGGTCTCAACATACACGAAGGGAAAAGCAAGATTCTCCGATACAACACAGCATGCAGCAATCGAATCACACTTGATGGAAAAGATTTAGAAGATGTAAAAGGCTTTACATATCTGGGAAGCATCATTGATGAACACGGTGGATCTGATGCAGATGTGAAAGCGCGGATCGGACAAACAAGAGCAGTATATTTACAGCTGAAGAACATATGGAACTCAAAATGCCTCTCTGTCAACTAACACCAAAGTCAGAATTTTCAATACAAATGTCAAGATAGTTCTATTATATGAGGAGAAAACTTGGAGAACTACAAAAGTCATCATCATATTAACAGTTGACTTCGCAAAACACTTCAGTTGTGTTGGCCAGACATTATCAGCAACAACTTACTGTGAGAGAGAACAAACCAGATCCCAGCAGAGGAAGATATCAGGAAGATGCGGTTGAAGTTGATAAGACACACATTCAGGAAAGCACCCAACTGTGTCACAAGGCAATCCCTCACTTCAAATCCTCAAGGCCAAAGTTAAAAGAAGAAGACCAAAAATACATTACATTGAAAATGGAGACAGATATGAGAAGAATGAACAACAATTGAATAGAACTAGAAAAGATGGCCTAGCACAGATTGGATTAGAGAATTCTGGTTGACAGCCTATCCTCTTTCATTTTTTTTGGGGGGGGGGTAACAGGTTTAAGTTAGTAAGTAAGCAAGTCACTACATGTTCATATAAACAGCATGTATCCAATAATCTTTAATTTTCATAGTTAATATCAATCCATGATAATAAAAGAACAAACAATAATTACTGATTGATTCGAATAAAAAAAAGAGAATTCAGCGAAGAAAATTTTCTTTTCGACGAAATCATCTACTTAAGCTGTACATTCGTAAATATAGTTAGATATGGAAAATATCTGTCTATAGAAGGATAGAATGGATTGTATCACACAAAAAAATGGATTCGACAATAAATAACAAATGAGGTTAACGTACTAATCAAGGGGTAAGGAAGAACAAAATTTATGGGTCAGATAATAAAACATTCCACGCAGCTAAACTTCGAATCATCTTCCCTAGCCGACCTACCATTCTGGGGTGTGTAAAGGACAAACTTTCGCTTTGGGCCACTTCAATGTGTATCTATAAATTTACTTGCTCATGTGGGGCATGTTACATAGGCCGCACAAAGCGGTCATTATCCAAACGCATCTCGGAACATTGTCCGACTTGGCTTTTGAAAGGGGAGTGAAAAACAATCACGAGTTCTATACAGGAGCACTTAATCAACTGTGGACATATCGCTCCCAAAGACTCTTCGTTTAAAATAGTTTACAGAGTCAAAGGAACTGGATCGAAGGGGGTTCGAATCAATATTTTATGCACCGCAGAGGCATTGGCAATCCACAAACTAAAGCCTGAACTTTGCGTGCAGAAACGATTTGTCCAACCTCTTATCCTTCCCTGGCCTTAATGGGTATGTTGCTAGGTGTGTTTTTTCTGCACTTCTATTATTATCGATATTTTTAAATCACTATTATGCACTTTAAACTTTAATCATTTATTATTATTACCTTTTACAAGTTTTCTTGATTATCATTCAGTTTATTATTATGTCCTTTGTTGTTTTGTCGTTTTTCCTTCATATCTGTCCATTGGACTATTATCTGATCCATAAATTTTGTTCTTCCTTACTGCTTGATTAGTACGTTAACCTCATTTGTTATTTATTGTCGAATCCATTTTTTTGTGTGATACAATCCATTCTATCCTTCTATAGACATACATTTTCCATATCTAACTATATATACGAATGTACAGCTTAAGTAGATGATTTCGTCGAAAAGAAAATTTTCTTCGCTGAATTCTCTTTTTTTTATTCAATGACACTATGGGTTATTTTAATTGATTGATTCATAGAAATAATGAATGAAATGACTTACCATCTGTATATAAACTATAAATGATATTACGACTTTTCTCAATTTGTTTAGTGAATGTTTCACTAATAGCTGCTTTACGTCGATTTGCTTGACATGCTTTAAGTGTTGTTTTTAATTGTTCTTTAGCGGTTTCAAGATTTTCCTAGAAGAAAAAGATAGGGAAAAAAACGTTTGATATTGATTACAGATTGATCTTGTTTCTTTGGTTTTGAATAAGATTGACAGTTAGATACTGTTGGATAGTTGTCTACGATCTATCTTGTGAATAAACTTAGAACTAACTGTTACCATAATAAATACTGTACCATTAGATTATTTGGTTGAAATTCAACGGTACACAATTGTTAACTTCAATCATTATCGACAAGTATTTAACTTCTGACGTGGTTCAACTACTTTGACTAATACTTAATTACGTTGAGATAAATTCCCCCTCTCCAAGTCTTTATCCATGGAGTTGAGCCATGTTAACGGTGGAAAATTTATCAACTGATTGAAATTAAAAATCTTTACCCTTATCATTATTCTAAAAATGATTTATTTTATTTTATTGGTACAAGAAGGCATCAAATACATATGCGTCACACAGATCTCATTTGATATGTGTGAGGGCTGTGATACTGGCCAAGTGCGCAAACCGAAGTAGGTGGTTTTCTTAGGGGGCCACACCCGGAGCCTTCGACCTGAAGGTCTGATCCACAAGACAGTGGAGCATCGTTAGGAGATGCAGTCCCATGGTAGCCGGTGACCAACGATTGGTTCATACGCCATTTGTTACCTCAGAGTACTGGAGCCCACGCGCACCATTGGTTTGGATTTGTGGTTTTCCAACTTCCCGAGACGGAGTCTCCGCGTTCACCAACCCGGTTAAAACGCTGGACATTCGCCTTTCTTCCTCTCAATTTCGTAAACAACTCCCCCGTCACGAGAAGGCAGTGAGTAGGACTTCCCTGGAAATGATAATTTCAAATAGGAGTCTCACAGTAGGACGAAACGGCCGTCCAGTACTTTCCGGTCTTTCATGGTGATCTATGTTTACTTGACTCAACTAATATCCACACAAACCCCTTCTGATATTTATTCCAATCGAACTATCCATATTTGTTATAGTATATAATTGAAACAAATAAACTATGTCAATATACAAATAAAAAGGCCACGTCTAACATTTTACCCTAATGTACTGTATCACACAATTCATGCCAAACTATCAAGCATTTTGTTTTTGAGTTAATCCCATGTATTACTAGGAATTCCTCAATAGTTTTTTTCCAACCAACTACATACGGTTATTTGAACAAATAGTTAAATTGATCTGTTAAATCCACTGATTACTTTGTCATAGATAATTCATTGGCAACCATATACAGACAGATAGTTTATTCGATAGAAAAAATTTGATTGAACTATCATACAAGCTATACTGATTAGTTTCCCAACAAAAACAGTCAATTGTTTACCTATGAAATCAGTACATAATGATTGGTGCATTATATCGCTATTAAGTATATGTGTATAGAATTTTAGTAACTGTTACGTGATTTCATTAGTATACTTGATCAATGACTCTTTTAATTTCAATGGTTGAGATCATGAGTCAATTAAAGCTAGACCAACATGGAAAACCTGAAAACAATGGACGGCCATTTCGTTCTATTGTGGGACTCCTTAGCACTTTGCATCCATTATCTCGCCTTGCGAGATACGATCCCTGGACCCATCAGTCTAGCGCGCGAGAGCTTAATCATTAGACCACTCAGCCGGCATCCACGAAATTGAGTTACACACCCACCATTGTCTTCAGTGAGTTCTTTTATTGTTACAAAATATACGGGTGTAATATCACACATTTTCCGTCATTTTCTTTGTCAGGAGATGTGAGTTATTCTGTGTATCTCAACATTAGTGTATTGGAATTTATGATTTGCTCACTGGTACTATTCACAACTGTATTTCATCTATCTTTGTTGCCCTATATGAATCTTAAGCGGATTACCTAGATATAGTCATAGGTTTTAGTATATTAAGTAAGCAGTCAGCACGTTTCATCCTACATGGAACTTTTCAGTTGAATGTACTTGAATTAAGAATCTAAATATAAAGTTATTAGAACATATCAGTATTGTACTGACTAGATATCATGAATGAAAATAACCGATTTATGTTGCTCATATTCAATTTACAAAGATACTGCTTAGCTAACATTCGTGTTGAAATTTCGGCTGATCAAGTTGTAGTATATATGGACTATTGTTCATAGATTGAGTTCCACTCATCTTTTGGAAAACTAAACCTTAATGTGTAGTAGAAAAGCATCGTGGTAGTTAACTAAATTAAATTTGCATTTTTTCTAGCGTGAACACATCAAGTGACAGATCAATAAACAACAGTTTCTAACTAGTTTGTAAATTCTCAGCGTAGCATAAACAAGAGATTTTTTGGAGAACACCTATTTCATCATATAACACCTCAGATTTCCAACTTCAAACAACTTAATACATAGCACATGAATTTCTTTCAACAATACTGATGAGTTGACTATTGAGCTCTGAATCAATAAATAAAAAGTGATATGTCTACCATGATAGTGCAACTTCCTGATTCTATACTAATTTTTGTGGTCTTCAGTGAACACGATCGAGGAGTCTCATACGAAGGCAAAATGAATGTATTCTAATTTCTGGTTTTCTGTCATTGTCATGAAAGTTCATGAATGATGTAATTTCGATATATTTGTGATTAATGAGTAATATCTAAAACAATGGTCTATGCCACAACAGATTTTATTCATTCACATAGTGAATTAGACGTATGAATCTCCAACATCCAGATGTATTAATTGTAGTAAAATGAAACAATCTATAAGAATGTATATATTCCATTTCATGTTAAGAAACATCATAGAGTCAAATTTCAAAAGGTTTTATCTTAAACATCTATTAAATATAGAGGAGAAGACTAAGTTTGCTGGAAAATATCTATATCTTAATCACTATTTTGTAGATAAATACCCACTACATAGAACAACAAGTGTCCAGTCGAACTGCTTTACTTTGATAAGAAACCTTTCAATAAGATTTGATGACGATGATGATGTTGTTGATGTTGGATCCCTACATTTTTGATAAGGAAGCATTCCATGAGAATCAAGAGAATAAAATAATCAACACTTATTCATTTGACCATTGATGTATTGTTATTGAATGGTACATATTGTCAATCTCAGTTCATTCCTGGCATAATACAACAACTACTGATTATCCTTATTATAAAATTTTCCACTAGTCATGAATTCTTACTAAATCATATCACAGATTAACATCAGCCGAAGAACTATTGAAAATCGATAAATACCGGGTAGATGGTTAATCATAATTTGAAAGTTTATACCAGTGTCTATTTATGATTTCACAATTAAATTATATAGATGTATGATGTTTCACGTGACTTATGAAACTTCTTGGCTTGATTCCAAGTGGAGTGGGTTAAGATTTTTCATTAGTAAGAAGTGACAACCTTTTTATCGATAAAAAGCTGATGTTCAAATGAATCAAAAGATCTGTGAAGAGGAAGGCGATGTAAAGCTATTACAACTTAGATGATTAATTTTTAGTGTAGTACGAATCATCGGTTTAGATATCCCTGAAGTAAGAAAGAAACTAAATAGCTTTTTTTCCAGAATGTGACTCTACATGAGACCCTTCTAAAGACATGGGAAGCTCTCCAATAAACCATCTATTTCAATTAATCTAATCCAGGTCATAAAATTTCAGCATAACATCTTATGAGATTTTACTAATTTTGAGCCGTAAATCACAAGTACACACATACATTTAAAAATCTAAGCACAGAATGGTAACACAAACTTCAGTAAATCAGAGTAGCGCGCTATCTCTGGCGGACAACAATATTTACATATTCTCACATAAGACCTCATTATTGATGGGTTATAATCAACAGAAGTTCCTAATAGATTGCATCGAAAGTTATATCATCTTTTGTTTGTATTTTTCTTCTGATTAGTCCAATCATTATAATACAATAAATCTCAAGCTTTTTAAGCAAACTTGGAATCCAGGACGCGCGCCACTTCGTCCTATTTGAGACTCGTCAGAAGGATGTACCTGCATCACACTTGTTGATGTTCACCTTGGGACTCGAACCCAGTACCGTTGGCTTCAAATGCCATTGCGTTATCCACTTATCTACTGAGTCCTGATAGCCACCTGTTTATGCAATGGGGTGAATTTTAAATTCAATTGGTGTTGTTTTATTACTTGTATCTTGAGACTGATCAGTTTCAGTCCTAAATAACAATGGGAAGATACAAGTAAAAAAACACCAAGTACATCTCAGTTTATAATAAAAAAAACCAACATTCGTTAGAGTTGTATTCGTAAACAGTTAGAGCATCAGTTACCCCGTACAAGTTATCCTCAGAGCACATTAAATAAAATGGTATTTGTTAACACAAAGAGCAGCCGATTATCAGATCTGTTTGTCAGTGAAGTAAACTAAGATCAGAAAGAATTGGACTAATGTTTCATCTTGGTTTGGTCTCTCTTCACTAATAAACGATTTATGAGTGATGGTTGTATCAATACTATTGTTTAAATTTTATTAAAATCCACTTTGGACCGAACCATTTTATTTTTATCCAATTTCAGTCCTTCTCATATCATTTATTGATAGTTGACATTGTTAATTGACCTTAGTTAGACAACAATTAAGAAGTAGCAAACATTGGATAGCTATTTTAGTCTAGTATGAAGCTTCTCAGTGGTGAGCATTCACAATCCTACGAGATATCAAACTCAAGAACCCCAGGTATCTCTCCGAGAGGTCAACCTGCACATTGTCAAGTCGAGGCCTATTAGTTGATACTTGTAACTTAAATCCGCTTGCGATATTATCGAATGATCGACCAATCACAATGGTAGGCAACTGCCTTCCTCACAACATGGTCCAGATCCACTTGTCTCGACCCCCCCCCACAAAGAAAATCACTTGTTTCGGTTTGGGCACCAGGACAGTATCCCAGCCCTCACACAAATTGAATGATTTATGTGACGCATATCTATTTGGCGCCTCCTTGTACCAATGTTTATGTGTTTAAATAAATAAAATCTTGGCAAGAACTTAGGGAGTTACGTATGAGAATTAGTTACAAGTGAGCACATGACTATTATTAGTGAATAGGGGTTGTATCAATTGTTGTAGTTAAAAATTACATGAATTAACCTTAGTTAGCCAAACACTGGAAACTAGAATGTGTTTGACAAACTTATCCTCGTGGTAAGAGACTCCCCAGAAAAGCCCAATCACTATAGCTCCCAAGGACGAATTCAGGACTTTATTTGTTATTGAAATAGTTAGTTAAAATCGGTATATAAGACATAATAATGACAATCATGTAAATCTGTTTCGTTTATAGGACACTTAAGGTTTGACAGTAAAAAAAATTGTTCTATGATGGTCAACATTCAAAAACTTGATTCATGCCTATTGACAGATGATTGATTATGATAATGTAGATCTATATTGGAATTGTAAATGAACTAATAATGATTGACCAAGTTCTCACAAACTATTTCTATTGAACGAACTGATGATATTCTTTTTGGGATTTTGAGAAATAATAATCTTTTTAGCCTAAGTACACTTCATGATCCTGTATTTCATTTCAACTGATAGAAATATTGACGTGAAATATCACCTTTAAATATTTATTCACAAAACATGGGTTCATATCAGCTGATAAACAATAGAACATTTATAATCAGAAAATTGTTTTGTGAATATTATAGTATTTTAATAGTTGAATTCATGAGTCAATTAAAGCTAGACCAACATGGAAAAGCTGGAAGCAATGGACGACTGTTTCGTCCTAGTATGAGACTCCTCAGTAGTGTGCATTCACGATCTAGCTCGCGAGATTCCAACCCAGGACGAACGCTTAACCTCTAGACCACTGAACCGGTCGGCATCCAACGGTGTTTATGTCTAACTTCAACCAATCCACGAAATTGCGTCATCGTCTACCATTGTCTTCAATGATTAACTGTCTCATAACAGACCCAGTTGAACTCCACTTGTCACTGCTTCTCACTAGAACTCCAGGAAATACCTCATGAAGTCAGTCACTAATGACCATATGATGATTATAATCAGATAGGGGTTTTGTGGATATCATAATAATTTGAATAAACCACCATGGAAACCTTGGTTGAAATTGTACGGCCGTTTCGTCCTAGTTTGGGACTCCTTGGTAGCTTCAATTGACTCATGAATTCAATCATTAAAATACAATATTTGATTCAAAATAAGCTGATTGATCATATTTACCATACAACATATAATGAAAACGTATCACTACATACCTGTTCTATTGTAGCCATTCCTTGAATAAATAAAATTGTAGAATTTGATAATTCCTGATACATACCACTATGTGTACTTAATAAGAGAGAGAGAGAGAGATAGTCATTTAATGAAAATAAGATTCCGATTACTTCATGTGTAAACGATTCTTTGCTTCTTCAAATCGATTATTTAAAAATAAATCAATGGTGCATTTGGCTTCAGCAATTCCTTCCAATAATTTTTCACATGTATCATCGTTAACATTATTAGTGTTATTATTCATATCGGAATTGTTAATATTACCGATTTTTGATTGATTTTCATACCACGGTCCAAGATACTGAGATATAAAATTTAGATAAAGTCAATTTAACAACAATAACAACAACAACAAAATAATATTCTTATTTATGTTACTAAGTTAATACTAACTTCAAAAGATTATTAGACTGACTAAAGTATTTATTGTGATTATTGATTAAAGTAGTGTGAAAAGAACAGTTCTATTCAAATGATGCCTTTCATTGTAGAACTCAATCAGTTGATTTAAGTTTGTGGTAAAATAAAAACAAATGATTGGTCACCGAGTAATGACCGGTGTCATGTTTATCAACTTCTTAGTTATGAGATAGAGTTCCATATATCGAGTTGTAATATAGTCATTAATCTAAATGACTCGACATAGAGGGAATTATGTTGAGATGTAAGGTGGTGGTTGAAAGAAGTCGTTATGAAATTTTGATTAGCCTAGGTCTAGTGCTAGTTTGAACTCATTAGCTAGGCGAATCTGTGATCTTGAGGGGACTGGTGCTTCCCATGAGATTAAAATTCGCATCAACCAGTTTCATAGTCTGAGATATTACCACTTAGATATCCTGTTCACGCATAAAATCTTGTAGAATCAAGATATTTACAATTAACAGAACGATGGATACAAGTTGGTTTACTTATATACTGCTAATCTAAGTCAATCGATATTTATTGTCATTATGAACTGGTGATTTGTGTACAGAGTTAAAGGACTAGTGATATGACTTGACTAAACGTTTACTACCACAGACATTCAAACAGACGATTTACATTAAGGTAAGTTCAATAAACGTGTACTTCAGAAATGAATGGCAAATAAATTAATGATGGCTTAAACATATGGTAATCATTTCTCTATATTTCTTCCATACGGATATTTTAGTTACCATCTGAATAATACTGATTATGATAGTAAACAATCGAATTATAATTCACTATGAGGAAAAAGTGAATATTCACATAATAAACTGACTTAAATTAAACAACAACAACAAAAACTGATGGTTCAATTCCTCTAACTGACTGAATTCAAAAGTTTAAACCATTGGATACTAATTCAATAATCTTGAAGATTAAAAGCTAGTCGTCCGAATATCTTAGGTTTAATTATGGATTCTTATTGTCAAGACGTTTCATACAAGGAAAACATAGATACCATATTATACCTCTCAGTATTCAGTAGTTATGATGCAATATTAAGTCATAATACGATTGTATAAATTAAGAAAAAAAGATATATATATATACTTAAAAAAGAAGGGGTTTCGTGGATATTTTAGTAATTTTTAATAGTTGAAATCATGAGTCGATTGAAGCTAGATTACCATGGAAAACTTGTAAGTACTGGACAGCCGTTGAAGTTAGACATTAACACTGTTGAATATCAGCTCAGCAGTCTAATGGTTAAGCGCTAGCGCGCGAGACTGATAGGTCCTGTGTTCGAATCTCTCGACGTACGATCATGGATGCACAATACTAAGGAGTCCTACACTAGGGCGAAATGACCGTCCATTGTTTCCAGGTTTTTCATGTTGGTCTAGCTTTAATTGATTCATGATCTCAACTATTAAAATATATTTAAATATTGATTATTTTGGAGAATAAAATGGTAATGCACACACACACACACACAGAGAGAACTCCTCAATATACACACACTGAAAACACAATAATTTAAGGTCAACTTAATTGAATATACAAAGTATATTTATTATTATTTATAATCATTACAATCATTAGGTTATTGAAGATAATGAATAGCATGTTGAAACAAACCAAAAACTCAAACAAACAGAACATACACAAAATTATTGATTTTGTTACAATATTTTATTGATTATTAATATACTCAATACGTAATAGAATGGTTGTTTTTTTTTGTTTCTTTTGTATTATAGAATTTGGAAACAAAGATCATTTCAAAATAGACGAGTAATGTTGAATTAAACTAATGGCTTACATGAATATCTGAACTACTTGTTCCGGTCAAGTGATCTAGATATTTCAATAAATGATCTATTTTCAGAATGTGTTTTGTGGAGATTTTTAGAAATTTCAGATTGAAATCGAGTCAATTGAAGCTAGACCACTATGGAAAACCTGGAAGCACCGGACGGCCGGTTCGTTCTAGTATGAGACTCCTCAGCAGTGCGCATCCACGATCCCGCACCCCGCGAGACTCGAACCCAGGACCTACTGGTTTCGCGCGCGAGTACTTAACCATTTGACCACTGATCTATTTCATTGTTTGTTTGTTTCAATAGATTATTATGTCAATTCATTGTATAATCTATTCAGATAAGTTTCGGGAAAAATGCACAATTTTTCATTGTACAAGTTATAAAAGAGCCCAATTCGAGATATTGTGCTTGTTGGTTATATGCGACGAAAAGAATGTCTGTTATTTAGATGTCAATTCTTGAATTGCTAATATCGAATTGGCAATCAGTCAATATATAATAGTTGAATTCATGAGTCAATTGAATATAGAACACCATCGAAAACCTGGAAGTATTGGATAGCCGTTTTCTTCTAGTATGTAACTCCTCAGCAGTACGTATGGACGATCCAGATCGCGCGATTCCAACCCAGAACCTATCGGTCTCACACGCATACACTTAACCTTTAGACCAATAAGCCAGCACCAATGTACGAAATTGTGCTACTGTTTATCATTGTGTTCAGTGAGTTACTATGTCACACCAGACCTGGTTGAACTCCACTAGTCACAGCTTGTCACTAGAACTCAAGGAATACCTCTTGAAGCTAATCATTGCTGAAGAGTCCTTTTCAGGTTTTCTATGGTGGTTTACATCCAATTGACTCATGAATTTAACTATTAAATTACTAAGAACTACTATTTTTAAGATATTCCCCAATCTGTTAGTTAAAGTTTCTCATATTCACAGTCACGTTTTTAGCTTGATCTTATAGAAATATTATTCCCTATTTTCTGATATGATATAGTCTGTTTGACTGGTATAATATATAAACGAAATATGTTTGAAATAAATGATTCGTAATAGTAAAATTTGGTATTCCTGTTCACAACTTTAACTGAAAGAAGGATTAAAAGAACAAAAGACCAATAATGATTCTAGGCTATTCATACCGATGGAATATCATTGGTTTGGCATAGTACTAACATTGTATAAGTTATATTTGAATTGGTCAATAAATCATATGATATTCAACCGATCTAAAAGATATTACAGTTTGATTAGGGTAATTCAATGAGAAAACACATTGTATATATGTATATTCAAAGAATCTTATGATTTCAACAATATGACTTTATAGATTTGAATTATTCTTCTTCGTGTATGACAGATATATCAGTGAATATACATTGATAGATGTTTGTTTTTGATCAATGCTTCATCAATATGTATTCTCAATTATGAAATTCTACTTATATAGTCAAATAAAAGATAATAAAGATTACAGTCATGAGTGTAAGTTTGATAATGTAATTATTAGGAAGTCGTAAGCTTAATACTATACAGAGATTTGGGTGAAAACTCTTTAGGAACGACAGCCCTAATAAACAATTTAGATGATTTCAAAGGTAGTTTTTGATAAGTTTTAACCGAAAAATAATGTACATAGAAGATATGTATTATAACTAGCTATGGAATCTAGGATCCGGGTTTTATCCTATTCGGAACTTTTTATTTCAGTGTACCTACATCCTAAAGCTGATATTCACTTGGGGACTAGAACTTAATGCCTTCAAACGCTAACGCATTATTCACTTAGCTACTAAATCGTGATTAGCCAATAGCTTATACAGTTATGTGGATTGTTTTATTCATTTTATTAGTTGTTTCAATCTGTACATTGACCATTTAGGATTTCAATAAATCAGTTTCTGTTGGCATATAGGCACTTTGTATAGTTTACTTGGATATATCCATTATTGTTCAAATTTACTTCCTTACGCCTGTTACTCCTCGTGGAGTAGCATAGGCTATTCACAAGCACTCTCCATCTAACACTGTCCTAGACAGTCCTTCCCAGTTGCTATTCACACTCTTCATCTCTCCTTACAATTACATGAGCAGTGTATTCTTCTGCATTCCTCTTTTCCATTTCCCTCTGCATCCCACCTTAGGGCTTGCCTCGTGATGCACTTTCATGATTTCCTCAATATGTGTCATATATGCACTTCCAACGTCTTTTACTAATTTAATCTTCAGCTGCGAGTTGGTTTGTTCTCTTCCCAGTAGGCTGTTACTGATAGTATCCAGTCAACGAATATTCAGTACCTTGTGTAGACAACTGTTTATAAATACTTGTGCCTTTTGATTATACTTGTCGTAGTTCTCCACATTTCATCTCTATACAACAGGACGGTCTTCACGTTCGTATTGAAGATTCTCACCTTGATATTGGTTGACAGACAGTTGTTTAGAGTTCCATATGTTCTTCAATTAAAGGAATGTGGCCCTTGTTTTGCCAATCTTCACCTTTATGTCTTCATCAGATTCTCCTTGTTCATCGATGATGCTTCCTAGGTACATGAAAGATTTCACATCTTCCAGAATTTCCCCATCAAGTTTGATTAAGTTAGTGTTCTCCGTTTTGTATTTTCATAGTTTAAGTGAAGAATCTTTATTATTATCTTTATTTTTACATGATAAGGATTTCAATACTAACCGTGATATGTGCTACTGATATCGACAGATGTTAGTAGTATGTATCATTTATCGAAAGTGAAACATCTGGTGGAAGAAGGTTTAGCAGATCGAAGAAAGGAGAAAGAGAACAGTGAATGATTCGTGTAGAAATCACAAAACAATGAAGTTTAAGACGATTGATTGACATTTAGCAAATGAATTATTTCTCAGATCTTACAAAGAAATTCTGTAATTTGTGTTCTCATTCGCTACATAACCTAAAAAACCTATTCGAACACCGATACCTTTCTCTGGAAAAAAATAATAAGCAAACAACTTGGATAAATCCAATCATTTTTTTGTAGAAATAGTCACTAGTATACAATTTCAACGGAAATTTACTGAATATATT